GGGGGGGTGGTGTTATGGATATTGGGGAGGGTATGTGCTATGGTGAGTGCTGTGAAGTGTGTAAACCTGGCGATTCACAGACCTGTACCCCTGGGGATAAAAATATATTATATGATTATAAAAAATAAAATTAAAAAAAAAAAAAAACTTATGTGAGACCAAAAACAAGACAAAACAAAACAAAAACAAAAAAACAAAAAACACTGAAATCCAAGAGGAGGATATAAACAGTAATAACCTCTTTGACATTGGCTATAGCAACTTCTAACTAGATATGTCTCCTGAGGCAAGGGAAACAAAAGCGAAAATGAACTGTTGGGACTATATCAAAATAAGAAGCTTCTGCAAAACAAAGGAAACAATCAACAAAAAGACAACCTACTGAAAGGGAGAAGATATTTGAAAATGACATATCTAATGAAGGTGTTAGTATCAAAAATAGAGAAATAATTTATATAACTCAACACCAAAAAAAAAACAAAAAACAAAAAACATACTAATCAGTTAAAAAAAAAATGGGCAGAGGACATGAACAGATATTTTTCCAAAGAAGACATCCAGATGGCCATCAGATACATGAGAAGATGCTCAACATCACTTATAGTCAGAGAAATGCAAATCAAAACTACAATGAGATATCACTTCACACCAGTCAGAATGGCTAAAATTTACACCACAAGAAAAAATAGCGGTTGGTGAGGAAGTGTGGAAAGGGGAATCCTCTTAAGCTCTTGGTGGGAATGCATTCTGGAATAGCCACTCTGAAAAACAGTATGAAGTTTCTTCAAAAAGTTAAAAATGGAACTACCTTACAATCCAGCAATTGCACTACTAGGTATTTACCCAAATGATACAAGAATACTGATTCAAAGGGGCACATGCATGTTTGTAGCAGCATTATCAGCCATAGCCAAATTATGGAAAGAGCCCAGATGTCCATCAACTGATGAATGCATAAAGAAGATGTATTATATTTATGTGATGGAATATTGCTCAGCTATCAAAAAGAACAACAGGGGCGCCTGGGTAGCTCAGTGGGTTAAAGCCTCTGCCTTCGGCTCAGGTCATGATCCCAGGGTCCTGAGATCAAGCCCCGCATCGGACTCTCTGCTCAGTGGGGAGCCTGCTTCCCCCTCTCTCTCTGCCTGCTTCTCTGCCTACTTGTGATCTCTGTCTTTCAAATAAATAAATAAAATCTTAAAAAAAAAAACAGCTGCCATCTGCAATGACATGGATGGAGCTAGAGAATATTATGAGAAGCAAAATAAGACAGAGAAAGACAAAAACCATATGATTTCAGTCACATGTGGAAGTTAATAAAAACAAATGATTGAGGGGCGGGGGTAAAGAGAGAGGAAAACCAGGTAACAGACTCTTAACTATAGAGAACAAATTGATAGACAACACAGGGGAGATGGGTGGGGGGATGGATGAAATAGGTGATGAGGATTAAGGAGGGCACTTATCCTATTGGGTGCTGGGTATTGTAAGTGATGAATCACTATATTGTATACCTGAAGCTAATTACACTGTGTGTTAGCTAGCTAGAATTTAAATAAAAACCTGAAAAAAAGAGAAACTGAATTTGGCTTGGGATTTAGACTTCCAGGAATTTTTTTTTTCCTCCTGGATGGCCTTATTTAGTTGATACCCCTAAGGACTATGAGTAGGAAATTCTGGACAAACACTAATGAAAGGATTTCCAAGTGTCTGTTTAGTGCCCTACTGTAAAGAAGATTACCCCTCATTTAAATATTATTCAAACTGTTTTTGGCCATTTGATACCAAAATTTCTTTTTGTGAAAATCCAATCAGTTTTACATCTCTACTTCTCATTTTTGACAGAGGCAGTATTAACTAAAAATTGTTTTTCCTACAGCTGAATGATAATAGGAATAGTGTTTTCCCCCTTTATTACTATCCCTGGAAGAGAAACTAAGGGCAATAGGAGCTCTTGTGATATAGATTCAATAAAGGGCTCCCTCCATCTATGAATACCGACAATAAAAGGGCAAGCAACCATTAAATGTTCTAAATGTTGCAAGATGAGAAATTATTCCAGGGAATATCACACAGTTAGTGATGTGACTCAGGACCACAGAAAATATGCATAAATAGCTCATAATCACTTGGTTTCCCACAATAAGAAAAAGGAATCATCCAATGTTTATAAACAAAGTGTCCGGGGGCACATTGGGCCTACAGAGGGAAGTTTAACAAAAGTCTCTAAAAACAGTGGTCTATAAAGTGAAAAGAGATAACTAGTAGTATGAAGTGAGACTTCAGGAAAGTTCTCATGTAGTTCTTTGCTCACCATCGTTGGGTGAAAATCTGGAAATAAACCAAGAGAACTCCTGTTTTGAATAATAATCTGTGTGAATCCATGAAGTAGAACCAGTTTGGTCTCCTCAGAATACCTATTTTCCCTACTCATTCACGGAATAGATTTCCACTCCAGAAAAAAAAGTCTCATCTACATACTGGTGTCTTGAAGCTCTACCCCATTAGTGCAGCAGAGTTAGTGCATTCAGGTCACCCTGAAAAGTAACAATGACTTTGAAAAGCAGTTCTGCCATAGCTACTAAAACTTGTGAGCTCACATGCCTTTCCTTCCATCAGACCCACATTGATATCAGATTATCAGAAATAAAACATCAGTAGTTATCAATGTATGGAACTAGGTGTTTATTGAAGTTTTGTCTTTATAATGACAATCCCGTAATGACCTAGGTGATTATAGTAGAGGAACAGATTAACTGCTGTGTATTATATAAAAAAGGAATGACAACAGTACACTATCAAAAATATGGATCCCTAATATATTATTGACCTTGGAAAAATAATAAATGAAGCATGATCATACCAAGGAATGCAGAATGTTTAGCCATTTAATAAATTTAAGTAGAGTTCAGCCAGTGACTAAATGTTACATGGCTTCTCGGCACAATCAGAATGGGTGTGAATCCACTTTTCTGCGCCACAGTTTCATCAAAGCTTTTTTCATCTCACTGTTTCTCAAACTGTAGATCAGTGGATTCAGCAGAGGTGTAAGAAGTGAGTAAGACAATGACATCAGCTTCTTGGTTTCTGGGGAGTAGCCAGATTTCGGTTGTAAATAAGTCATATTGGCCGTGCCATAGAAGAGGGTCACAGACGTGAGGTGGGAGGCACAGGTGGAAAAGGCCTTTTGCCTCCCAGTGGCTGATGGCATCTTCAGGATGGCAAAGAGAATCCGAATGTAAGACAAGAGAATCAACACAAAAGGAACCATGACAATCAAAATGGTGCCAGTGAATGCATAGATTTCAAACAGAAAGGTATCTGCACATGCAAGTTCTAGCACTGCTGGGGTTTCACAAGAGATATGATTGATTTCATTGGGGCCACAGAAGGGAAAACTGAAAACCCATGATGCCTGCACAGTACCTAACATGAAACCTAAGGCCCATGACATTATAAGTAGTTTCATGAAAACCCTTTTGTTCATAATCATTGGGTAGTTCAGAGGATGACAGATTGCAGCAAATCGGTCATAAGCCATCGCCCCCAGGAGAAAACATTCAGTGCCACCAAAAAAAAAGAATGAAATACATCTGTGCAAAACAGCTTATAAATGAAATCGACGTTTTCTCAGTGGAGAGGACCACCAGCATTTCAGGCATAATGACTGCACTGAAACTCA